GGGGTAGTATAAAAAAGAATATTCTTTTTTTTTTTTTTTTTTTAAATACAAATTGCCGGTGTAGGCCACAGGGCAACAAGCACTAACATCCTCGGCGGCTGTGCTCCCTGCTCAAAGGTTTGTCACCTCTCCCTCGGGCGCTCACGTTTTCACGTGTATTAACAAAGAAGAGGAGAAAATTCTGGTTGAGCTCGTGTTTCCAATCACTAGTTTTGCATTATTTGTGACCAGGCAGGGAAACGGAAATGTTCCAAGCTGGTTGAAAAGGTAAACAACCTCTTGCAATGCATGTTTTGTCAAAACGCTAACGCACGCTCAGAAAAATACTGATCAGGACAAAAGTGCATTCGTCACCGAGAATTTACCAGCTGCTTAAAGACACATTAAACATTCTATAGAAGGCTGAAAGTTGATGCTTTTGGGCCTGTAAACAAATTAGCTTATAACAACAAATAAGATGACTGTTCTTGGCTAGTACTGAGAGTTTAACTTGTTAAATATTTAACATTTACCTTTCAATCTTCCAGCCTCGATTAAGCAGTTCTCTAAACAAGAGGCACCCCCGCAGCAGATGTTGAGGGCTGGAGGCGCACAGACCATCGCCACACTCTGGCCAAAATCCTTAAGAAAAAACCAAACACACCGAGTCAAAGAGGAAGCAAACGTGAGCTTTCAGCAACGTCTCTAAGCTTTGCCCTGTGAAGCTTTCTGCACGTGCTCGTTTTTATTTACACTCATTTTACCTAGCTCTGCTCTAAATTAAAATAACGATGGTCAGTTCAACTCTAATTAAGTTGAACAGGAGCAGACTGGAATTGGCTGAGTACTTCTGAAAGTTTCCCATGTGTTGAAATACCCCCCCCCCCCCTTTATAATATGACTGCAGACCCAAGGTTAAGATTTTCAAAAACACTCCAAGATGCCATAAAGTATAGTCCTCCTAAAGCCAGTACAATTTTAAGGGAAGCAGAGGAGGAATAAGAAGCGTCATAGGATTGCAACTTTATTTCTAAAGTACAAATCCAAAAAGTGTAAATTTTAGAAGTAATTACCTCTGCTCACAAGCCTTGTGAAAGGCTAAACTACGAGCTTCTTTAGTTAGCTAGGATTATATCGTAACTAAATTAAAAGTGCTTTCAATAAAGAATAACTTCCTCCCATTCATGATGTAAACTCGATTCCAGCACACAAGCACAAGTCAGCCAAACCCATCTGTAAGATTATAATGGAGTGTCCCATATTCTTTTAGTTGTCAGTATAAACAGTACTGCCATTGTGGATGTGGTAATTTTGCTACACTATGAAAAAGGAATCAGTGGCATATTACAGAGGTCTGGCTTGCATGCTTTAGCTATAAATATAAAGGATGTTTAGAACTTGTTTTCTGTAATTTTTGTAAATTTTTAATCTTTGAAACAATGAGGGCTATTCTCTGAGCATATTTCCCACTGATGGTAACTGGGATGTTGCACTGCAGGTTGGATAGATTCCAGTTATGTTACTACCAGTGCTGCCAGCTCTTGTAATTATACTGCAATGCTCATTCTTCTTGGTAATTTCCCTGAAGCCTCAGCTGCTAATATCAAGAAATAGTGTGGAAAAAAAAAATCTCAGTTTAAAAAAATAAATAAGTTAAGAGGTAGTGAGTCACTAGCCCTCATTGTTGCTTGACAATGTGAAGTGCACCTATTCTAGAGGCTCAGAAACGGGAAGACAAATGAAAAAAGGATTAATAAATACATCCTTTAACTACTCATTACTTTTCAGGCACCCATAATTAAGAAAAAAAAAAAAAACAATGACCCACACTTTCTCAGATGGCACTACTGTATTGTTTATTTGTATATTTGCACATACAGACAGAGAATTAAGCCATGCATCAATTTAAACGCTGCAGAAATCAATGGCTTGAATCATCGTTATGTTACTCTTAATCTTTTTTTGTGTGTGATATGCAAGCATGCATATAAATAGTTATCACTCTACATCAATCAATCAACACACAAATCATTTCAATAACGGAACACAAAGCAGTAATAAGGATGTTAATTCATGTAACAAGGTAAGAGAATGCTATTGACTACTTTGCTTGTAGCATTGAATATACCTCCTCCTGAAGAGTTTCCTTTTACTCGGAACTATCTTCCTAAGTTTCTGGTGTCCCATTCTGTGATGTCCAGTGATTTCACCTTCTTTTCCTCCTCTAAGATCTCATCTGGATATTTTCTCCTCTCAGATATGGAATTAGAAAATGATTCCGTAAACTACATGTCATACCATTAAATTCAAACTGAAATTTATCCTACATACGTCACAAGATTTTCATTCTCCACTGCTGTGGCTACAGTGGAGTTAGTATTTTCCTCATCCAAAAATATGAATTTTATATTTTCTCTCCAGCATAGATTTATGAGACTAATAGAATGATGACATCCACTGTAAGGACCAGCTACACCTTGATTCCCAACCGCAAATACAGGCGCAGTAACCGTCGTTCCAAACAGCACTGCAACACCTTGGACACAGATTCCCAATCTCTGTCAACACTTGGATTTTTTAAAACACTGCCATTAGAGATCTTTCAAATGGTATTGGATTATCTCTCAGGTGAGATTCTGAGAAGAATGGTATTACTGCCAGTATATGAAAGTTGCTGCAAAAATTTTCCATGTAGAAAGAGCCACTTTTATCTAAATTATTTCACCTTTTTGCTAGTAGAAGACATTATGTGACTTAGTCTCTGAATTTTCAGCTTGAATGTAGGAAGAGCCTCGTGATCAAAAAATAAATGCCAATTGAAGAGTGCTTTTTGCCTGTTATGTACAAAGAGCATTTCTTACATCTGTACATCTCTAATTATCACAGTCTGTTGGCAAAGACCATAATTAAATTTTGTTTTATTCATAAATCTTGTTTCCTTTGAGGAAAGGTATAGTAAGGTTATTGAGTATTGATCAGCATTTTTCTTATAGTAAAGATTTAAAAGTATACTGGGTTTTGCTTTTTCAGTGAAGGACATCAGCATGCTGAGCATGGTGTCGAAAACCATCAGCAACCGCCTAATTAATTACATCTCAACCCCATCAGGAAACCGAAGGCTTTTATTGCAAGACTTCCATAACCTTGAGCTACCTGGAAAGAGAGAAGGATCCAGTATTTTAGAGCACTACAAATCTCTAGGTGATCTTTTAATGCAAACAGTAACAATTAGAGGAGAACTAAACTCACTTAAAAGGATTCTTCTGTGATATACCTTGATTGATAATAGTACAGCGTTGAGAATATCGTCCAAATCATTCGTGCAGCTCCCTCTGAAAGTGAGGTTCCTCCCTGTGCCAAATAGCCCACTCACATACCATTAACTGAGGGGGAAAAAAAAACTACTGAAATGATTCCAAAACTCTTAAGTTATAGACAAAATAATGTATGTTCTGCCTCCACCATATTTATTTTAATTTTAAACTGCAAGCAGGGGTTGGACAGAGTAACTGCATTACACAGGAGTTTCATCAGTTCTCTGTGTGAGGTGTTTCCAAATTTAGTTTGTTTGGACACCACCACTGGAAACTGTAGCAGAAACCAAGACTCCCAGGCCCCCACACTAGCTGGAGGAATTTAGCTGTTCTGACTGCCTTCATGCATCACTGTGGAGTAGCTTGCATTCCTCAGTCTGGGAAACTCAGCTGCAGTACTTAAATCCAACCAGTCTTAAATTCTAAAACGACCAATAACCGCTGCCATCAGAAAGCTTGTCTGATAGTCTACTCGAGATGTACTGCAGATCACATTCCATTTCTTAGAAGAGAAGTATGCTCATCACAAAAAATGTTATCACAGTTGTCACTGATTAGCATTCTCCTTGACAGCCTTGTATCAGAGTTCAAAGACTGAAATGGGCATAAAGAGTAAGTTTTCCTCTCCCCCTTAGCTTAGGGGCGAAGGACAATGTGAAAATGTCTGCACTCTTGTTGTCTTGGTGATCCATGGGCTAACCGAACTCTTGCTACGTGGAAAGTTTCCACTTTTCTTTTCTTTCACCTGCTCAGCTCTTTTCTTGCATAACATAATAGCAATCTAGTCCAGAGGGGTAGTGTTGATCATAATGAAAAGCACTGTACATCCTCGTGTTACAAGATGTTTGCTTTTTAATTTTTGTGCTAATTTTAAAGAGGCATTGATTTTAATTCATTCATTGTATCACTCAGAAGTGATGCATTCTTATGCATCTTGAACACTAATTTTTCTTCACCCACTCACTGTGAACATTCTTCTCCCAGAGAAAGAAATTACATTAAATCCTAATTCAACCCATATCAGTTTAATCTTACTTAGCTGATAAGAAAGTAAGTTTATCTGACAGAGAAATAAAATGTCGTCAAAGTTAGATGCAGGATGATAAGTAAAGTAATGCGGTTAAAGTTGTTTGGACCAAAGACCTCTTATGGTAAGTAATCCCTACAGGCTTTGAGGTATCTTAAGAATAATTTTACTTTTTGTTTTATTTTTAAAATGAAGCTTGAAACCCTAGAATTGTGCAAAAAAGTCAAAATTGGCTTGGGCACTGTTATTTAACTGTACCTGGGTGAACTCATCACTATAATAGGGCTAGTAATAAAAACATGACATATGCAAAATATAAAGATCACTGGCAATATCTAGCTCATCAGTAGAAGGCTCAAGGGAATGTTTTTGTTAAGAGGTCAGTTGCAAAATTAATATTTAATTTACACCAGCAGAGACTAGACTGAATGGGAAAAAAATCTATTCCTGTTCAGAGAGCCTGAACAAGGTCTGTATATTACATAAATCTCACTTAAACTCAGAGGGGTCTGGCTCCATCCAATCAATAGTAAAATCTTCCAGTACTTGTAATAGGGTCAGAATTTAAGTCATTGTTTAAAATAAACTTGAATTATAGATTATAGCAGTACTGCCCTTCAGCACAGGGGGCATTTTACCCTATAAAAGCAGCAGCAGCACCTTTTGCTCAACCCTTTTTACTGAAAATAATTTTTTCCAGAACTGATGGCTGTGTTCTGACTTGCCGCTACGCTATCTTAACAGTCTCAGCTATTCTTCAGGGAGTTCTCTCCGAAGTCTAGTCTAGTCATTAGAAAATTGATTTGACTGAGCTTTGGATCATGTCCAAGGCTGATAAATAAATTATGTCTGTCATGTAAGAATGTTAACATACTTCTAAATAAGGAAATAGTCCATTTAGAGCCATAGTAAACTTATAAAGTACTTTTTGACACTGGAAAAGTTACATGTTCTTTGAGAGACTAACAATTCAGGAAAAAAAAAAGAGTGCTTTTCTGGGGATTTCTGGATCAATTAACAACAAGATATACATATTTTACTGTGATATAAAGTTTCTGAAGACTGAGCTGTTTAACCCATTTGCTGTTAGTAGTTTAGAAAAAATAGCTACTGCTTAACAAACAGCTGTTCTACAGTATAATGAACTCCAGACTTTGACATCCTAAGCACATACCATTTCAGTCCTGTATAGGAAAATAATTTTACTTCCTAGCTATGTTTTACATTAACACAGTTCAGCAATATTTTCTTTTTAGAACATGTGGTCAGCTTGAAAAAATCTTGGAAGCTCAGCTTTCCATGATGTCAGGGAAAAACAGAATTCCCCAGGGTACTGTTATAAGAGGTGCAACAAATATCATTAATTGCCAATATTTTTAACAGCTGTAACTCCAAAAGCAATATAGTAGTTTTAAAAGGGTTCCAACTGTGACTAACAGGGATTTAAGACAACCCAAAACAAACAATTATGGCATATGAGACTTACCTTTTACATAAGAAATCTTGTCAGGGAGTATGCATCTCTGCTACAAAAGTGTACACCCCTTCTCCAAAGCATGCCTTACTGTACTAGGCTACCCATTTTGCCCTTGCAGTAACAGCATTCTCTCACTAGCGTGTACATGCATGCATATGTTGTATATGCTTAAGGTAATTCAGTAACATACATGCCATATATGTATACTCATAGTTGCATGTATATTCATTTTATTCACAGGATTGTTGCTTAAGAGATGCACACTTCTTTTGCCTACAAAAGATAGGCTAAAGTACATACACAAGATATTCTCAGAAGTAAGTTCACGTTCCTCTCACTAGTGTTTTAAACTGTCACTCGCACTTACAATACCATTCTATAAGGCAATTCTGCTAATGGAATTATTGTCTTTTATTGTCTCTTTTCTGCAATTTATTACTATAGCGTAATGAATTTATTGATTTGAAATCAGTTCCTTTTTAACTAAAAAAAAAAATTACATAAAAATAAAGAAGGCCTAAGACAGCATATATAATTCAAGGTTGTTCTTCCACTGAGATTTTTTTCTGATCAGCCATGCTGATTTAAATAGAAACTTTGCAGTGGAAGAGCATTTCTCCACAGGAAATTTTTGTCTCCTGAAAACAGGCTTGCTTTTCTTGGTTACCTTTTACACACCCATTTGAATTAGTCTATGGACCCCGATTTTAAACTTGGTGCTGAACCATCACATAGGCAGTATAACTCATTTCCTTGTACAGTAAGGGAAAGGAGTCCTCAATCCCTCTAATCAGTACTGATGTATACAAGGGGTATAGTGAGTTTTCAGTGGCAGGGATTAGCTTCTGGTGAGTTAAGATAAGTTACCAATATTTTGTTCTTGCAGGTTTCCTGTTTTAAATTTAATGGCTGTCCAAGTCCTTTGCATTGTTTAGGATTACAGTGCTATGGGATATTTTTGCAGGTACAGTATCTTTCTGGAGACAAGGCAAGTATCACAAATATAAAAGAAAATTAACGTAGTTTTATAAAGTAAGCCGTGTTTCAATATCTGATCTTTCAAAAGGATTGCAGATTAATATAATTCTCATCCAACTTAATTATTCTTTGAGAAGCAACAACAACAGCAAACTGTTTTTGCAAGATATTTAGAAGTATAACGTGGTTTTGAGCCTTGAACAAAGGTATTTGTTCAGTCAGTTCTCTGAATTTCCTTTCTGGTTGTTAAGGCTGGTGATCTGACTCCTGAGAATTCCTTGGTCCGGATTTCACTACCAACCAGTCTGGATTGTGATTAGCAATGTATTATCTAAGATGACATGGGGAAAGGGGATCATTTCATTACACAGTTTCAGATTCACAAACCAAGAGCAGGGACTGTTTAGTTTAAAATTAAATGGGTATAAACATCATATGCCAGAAAAATTGTGCTAGCTTGTGGAGGTTTAAGAGTAACAAAAGAAATCAATGTCAAATGAATTAGTTCAGCAATCAACAGGATATTTGCTGTAATGACTACTGCAATTGCAAACATGCAGTAAAAAACTAAGGGAAGGACATTTAAACACTACTTGAGATGTTCGATTGTGAATTGTTAGAATTGCCATAGTGATAGCTTTACTTGGGAGTACTTTGTTTAAAAGCAAATAGATTAAAAAAAATTCTATCTTAAAAGTACAGGCCTTTTGACAACACTTTAAATGCGTTTATGTCTTAGAAAGAGAAACTGCATACAGGTGCCTTCTACAAGCATGCTGCATTAAAATAGCTAATAATACACACAAAAAAAAATTGAAAGAGTGATTACCTTTCCATGGTTAAGAATTACCAATAACTGCTTTTGCCAGGAAGTTTGCGCTCATAGCAAGTACTTTCGTGTACACTTCCACGTAAGGCTCAAAAACAGGATCTTGGGCCTGAGCACAGCACACCAATAGCAGACTTTGATTCTGGGCTGTGTCAGGCTTAAGCACAACCCTTGGCATAAGGCAGAGCACCTCTGTACCGGATACTGGTTTCCCTATGCCCATCAGGGAGAAGCTATGCAGGCCCTGCACTCCAGGTATGGCATCTTCCCTATGTCTTCTCCTGATAAAACTCAGGATAGATTGTATTTATCTAACACGGGAAACAGCATTGTAATCTAAATTTGTGTCTCAATCTGTCCATTTTTCACTCCCTTTCTTTTGTAATCTTCAGATCCTAACAGCAGGCTGGGATGAACTAGAATGTCACCGAGTTTTTAACTTCCTTTGTGAGCTGAGCAATTTACCCCGTAAAGTACAGACAGTTGTCAGCAGCAGACCGGGTAAACATCAAAGTAGACAAAAGTCCTACAAAATTAAAGTGCGCTCTCATGGACAATTCAGAAAATGGATCTTGATTACTGCAGAAAGAACACATCCAGATTCGAGAATGTTTTAGCTCAGCTGAGCTTTATACCACCCAATCCTTTCCTTACCCATATGCATGGTTTTTTAAGCTCCCGTATTACCCAGAAAGTGGGTATTCTAAAGCAGGTACTTTGCCTTCCCATACCTAAATACATTTCCGTCTCCCCTCCCCTCCCCCCCCCCAAAAGCAAACCAAAGTACTTTTGTCTTTGATATGTACCCACTAGTGAAGAGAGCTGTTTTGAGAGGTATTATTTTAATCTTATTATTCCATTATCAAACAAGTGCATAAGTTACGTATATACAAAATAGTAAAGTTAACTTGACTCTCTCCTTCTGTACATCGGTGCCAGTGAAATCAATGGGAAAGGAACCAGCACAGAAATAAAGTGATGCAGTAAAAATCCGTGTTTAGTATTTCTGAAAGGCAACACTAACGTGGCACATGCCTTTTGAGAAATTCTCATGTTGCCTAGCACAGAATTGACTGCTTCTGTGGAATAGTTTATACACGGCTATATACACACTTCCTCCTATTTCCACTTATTGATGTCATCAGAGAGAAAGGGTCAGAGTAGGAAAAAACATAGCTGAGAGCCCTTGAAGACACACGTGAGAACGCTGCTGAAAGCTATCAGGCATAGATAGAAGCTATTGCGTAAATTAGTGCAACGTATCCAAAAGAGCCAAACTCAGGTGGTTACAGCTGAGAATTTAATGAAATATCCCTAGACATACTTGGGCAGAATTAAGAATTCTTTTCTCTCTCTTTCTATAAAAAGCACACACACAAACTGATCATTGGCATTGTGTGAGACTTAACGGATTTATAGTATCTACATTCTTTTGCCCAGGAAGTGCCCGAAAGCTGGAGCTGCGGATAAGGCTATTCTGTCGCAGTGTTTTGTTGAACCACTGGATTCATCGAAGTGACTCTGCATTTTGGTTGACTCGTATTTTAAAGCCATGGCCCATGGTTAATCAAGCTCGTTTGCTGTATATCATCTTTGGGCCAGTGTCCTCTCTAGATGGCAAGTAGTCTGGTTTTAATTGTTAAAGTTTGTTTCTTGAGAATGGAATTTCCCTTTAGGGTACAGCATTTTGGAGAACCAAGCTTTATGCAGATGACATGCAATCATATTGTCTAGAAACAAACCCTTCTGCTTAACTAGACCTCACTAATACATACATACACACACACATATATAAAAACACAAAGTTTAAATTCAAACAAAAACATTACAGAGGGTGTATTTCTGTCCTACTTAGGGTAGAGCTGGCTTGAATGCATCTTAAAGAAGCATCTATTTCTATGAATAAAAACATCCTTTCTCACTTAATAATTAAAACAGGTTTTCTTTAAATCATCCTGCAATACATACTGCAACTACCACTGTCCCTACTAAAATGACAGATGGAGACAGATCTCACCTCCACAAAGACAGAGACGTGTTACAGGACGTGAATTCCTTCCTCTGACTCAGCTTTAAGGCCTAGTTTTGCACCTTCCTTGTTTAAAGATTACTTTGTCATTTAATAGCTGTTGTGATTAATATTACTCAGGACATGTGGTTTGGCAAAAAATGATAGAAGGACCAACAGACGAGACCAGTCTGAAAGGTCTGGCAGATGCAATTAAACTGCTGTACGACACAGAAGCTAGAGAATGGACAGCAGACGATGTCATCAGTCTTGTGGATGAGCTGTCAGGTGTGTTTTTAAAACTATATAATCCTATGGATTAATGATGAAGATATGTCCTCCATATCTAGCAATAAGTACGTTTCAGATACAGAAGTGTCTTGGGAAGCTGATTACAATATTCCTTACAAGTAGCTGTGGCATAGCTGAAAGAGTTATTACACTTGAAAGTTAGGCAGTAGCTGGGCAAGAGAGAAACACAGCATTGCTTATTAATTCTTTCACGTTATGAAATATTTTAAGACTCCATTAAGACTTCTAAAATTCAAGTCTTGTGTTACCATTACTAAGTAAACAAGTCCAAGATATGTGTAAATCCAAAACATAATGTTCAAAACAAAATTCTACTCAGCACGGTCAACAGTTACATTTAAGGTTTGTTTGGGGTGAGATTAAATCACAGAAGCTATCATGAAGAGCGCTCACTGTATTGCTAGTAGGAATTCCTTATATAATGTCATTTCTCCAGACTCTGCTGGGAGTGTATTTCAGAGGGCACCTCCTCACAACTTCTGGTTAACTATGGAAGGCAACAATTCTTAAATCCACATCTTTCAGAATCGTTTTCCTAGCATTCCTTCTTTTTGTTCAGAAATGACTAAAATTCTCTATTTTCTTACAAAAGTTGTTCCCCGGGAGTGGCTCATGGAGAACAACGCTCGACTTCTCATTCTGAGCGGAAACAACATTTGCTTCACTTTCATGGCTAGTAAAGCTGTGAACGGGAGAACCGTTGAGTTAGCGAGACTCATAGTCTTCCTGGCTTTGGTGAGTGCTACTGAACGGAGCAGGCTCGTGCCTTTTGTCTCTCTGCCCACAGATTTGCTTTCCCACACCTGGAAGCTGTTTTCATATCTACTCCTGTAAACCAGGAGTCTGCACATCACGTGCAATCAAGCCCAGCAAGAGGCTTGATGCTCTGTTGCCCTGTAGTCTCTATCCAACACATCTCTGCAGAGTAGCAGGTCTACTTTTGAAGACAAATACTACTGGCAAAACTTGGAGAAGTTCCTTCACAGTATGCCAACAATAAGACTAACCTGCATACGCCCACTGCAAGCTCTAATTTTCCAGGGTAGGGCTGCAACTGATCCAGACATTCATTATGATCCTAATTGTCAGTAGTGAATTCTAAAATTTAACCTTACTTTTTATAGTGTCATCCTAATCAGGAAAGATGCATTTATAATATTTCCTGTGTATGTTAGGTCTGTGAGAAAGACCTGTATTGCATGGACTGGGCAGTAAAAATGATGCAGAAGGTCTGCAAAGTTTTCAGCACTCCAGGGGAAAGAAATAACTTCCTGCAGAGTGTGGAGAATGCCTTTGCTCACATGATCATGGACATGCTACAGGCAGTACTGTCTGGTAAGTCCGTAGGGCTGTGAGCCAGGACATAAAATTAAAAACTTAAGTTAGTTATTGCATGCATCTTTTCAAGGGATGCTAAAAGCGTCACCTGGTGCAGGGAGGCACTATTTGTAGAAATAAACAGGGAGTCAGTCAGTGTGAACTTGCACAACTACAGATCCTAAAAGTATGTGAATTTTGCCTCGCTTCTCCGAGTTGCACAGACTCGGACTAAGAAATCCCTAATGACATGAACAGTGAAACCAATGATCTTTTAAAATATGTCCCACCAGAGCACTGGGGCTTGAGGTCCTTTTGGACCATCTCTGTACACGGACTCTGAGCAGCTGCCAGCCAGATTGTTCAACTCAACAAGTTGCAGTTGCTTCCTGTCCACAGCTTGTCAGCCTTGATAAAAAACTCGAGACTGATTACGATTGCAAACTGTAAAGATGAACAGCCTGCTCAGGACAGATTTTTGTCTTAAAGCACAATTGTTCATGTCCATCTTTGGACAAGCTGTTGAAGGAATTTTGAGGAGAGTCTCCTGTGTTATTTCACAGCTGTCCTACCATCAGGTGCAATTGTTGATGTCCAATAAATCTAAGTGGAGGCTGCTGATTCAGCCTCCTTTGCTGAAAACACTGAATGAGTAAGATTTATCTTCAAATGCGTCATTTAGTTTCACTAATCACTTTTTAAATGTTTTTCTTTGCCCTGGGTAGGGGATCGTGATGAAGAGGACAGTAGCTTTTTGAACTTGTTTCATCTCGTAAATGCACAAGCTAATTTCCATAAAGAAGTCCTATACCTGACCATGAGAAGCAACGCCATTTGATTTTATGGAGTCTTGCTGGATATCTTTTTCCTTTTCTCCTTAATTTTTTTTTTTTTTTTAGAAACACTTACAGAGCACAGTGCAGTTATTTCTTGATTTCCCATTCCAGTAAGAGCAGGAGTAGTGGCTGGAGAAGCTAGTGAAATACATATCAGAACAGCTGAATAAGCCTGTGGAACATACTGGGGGACATCTAAGCATTCACAGCAGAGTTCTGCATGTTTAACTTGTCTGAGGCTGTGTCAAGACGTGACAAGGAAGCATTCTGTGGGTCTTTGGTTTGGGAACATAAACTGTGTTCTTTTCCCACTGTGTATGTTTGCATACACAATAAAAATGACATGGTTTTCATATTTGATGCACATATACAAATTAAAGAATGTTATCTTAGTTCAGAACTGAAAACATTTTGATCTTCTAATTTTGTTTTCTTTTGGGAATACAAGGAGAAAAAGGCAGATATAATTAGAGAAACATAGCTACATTTTTCCAGTTTACCAGGGGTATCTCTCTTCAACTCTTGCATTCCTAGCTCTAGAACACCGCAATAAAAATGCTCCATAAATTGTACTTTCAGTTTTGGCAGAGAGATATAATTCCTGAAAGCAATTTAACTGTTTTGATTAAGCAAAGGCAAAATTAGTTGCCTTTTTTTTTTTTAAACTACAGATACCATTTAAGCATAAAGCTGAAGAAACTTCAGATCCATCTCACCATCCAGTGTAATAATTGAACTGTTAAAATATATTTGTCTTTATATGACTTAGCCAAGTTGAAGACGTATGTTAAATGCACATCACTGCTAAGATCACTGTTTTATTAAAGTATATAAATGTTTCCTACTTATAAGAAGCTTTGATTTTCTGATATATTGCCTTACAAACAAAAATATGCAATACATACTAAAAAGTACTTACTTTACTATGTGTTGTTTACAACATGGCTATTTTCTTCATATTGTTAGACCACCTTCTTCTCCACTTCAGTCAACTTCCAGACATTTTAGGGGCTGTTCAGGACCAAATTTTAGCTGCAAATACCCAAGTTTAACTTTAAAAAAAAACCAGCCTCAACTACTAGAGACAGCTAAAGTGGAACCAGTTTATCTCAGCTGTCTTCAATTGATTTCATCAGTAATGAATTGATAGCAGCTGTACACTGATTTGCTTGGAAGTTTGCATGTTTAAAATTCTTGCAACATTTTTTAGTATACAGTTACAGACAGGATCTTTGTAGTATACCAGTAGATGGCAGAGATGAAATCTTTCATTGCAAAAAAAAAAAAAAAAAAGGTGTCTGCTAGCAATTGCTTTTAAAATCCCTTTTTTTTCCTGGCTGTTCTGAAGGTTATATTTAAGAGCATACTGCAGTACTACAATTATGCTGTAACTGCTTCCCATTTCTGAATTAGGTACAATGCAAGATTATTTGTTTGAGATCTAGTCAGTGAACTGAATGCCTCCAAACTGATCACCAGACTTAATGAACTCAAAATATCAGGATAAATAGATTTGCAGTGAGTACAGCAACATGGAAATGTAGCCAAGAAGCAACTGAGGTGGAATGCTAAAATCCAGATTATTATCTATCCCTTCCTTTTATGATCAGCAGTTGCTACTAATAAATAATCTACATAGATGAAATTCAGAATAATGATGTCTTTAAACACCACATCTTCTTGCTCCATTGTATTTCTTACATGTAATGATGCCTTGCTATGCTATAACACAAAGAACCACAAGATTGGCGTAGGTTTTCTGCCAGTGTGTGTCTCATCTCCCAGGACCGAGGACACAGCAGCAATAAATTACAGCACATCACAAAGAATGCCATTATGCGAGCGCAGCTCTACAGGAAAAGTAAGTTCTTTGATTCACTGGCAGCAATTGACAGAGATGAAATGTCAGCTCTGCCAGCATCAGTTCACTCTTTCAACAAAGCCTTAAGGAATGCAAGTTTTATGCAGCTGCCAAATGTGAAATATTGATGGCATTATTAATTATTATTAATAACTGCTATTTTTTATAGATATAATAGCTCAGCAAGTGTTTGGCATTAGCTTTGGATTTTTGTGGCTTTCATACTTGCTCCAGCATTTCCACGAGATGAGGACTTTCCTTCACAAAGAATCACAGTTCAAAGCCACTAAAATGGTAATTTCCAAACCAGTTTTGTTTGAACTGGAAAATGACACCCACAGCCCGCCTTGCAACCATATTTTCCAATATCACAATCTGATTAGCTCCCACAATTAAACAGTGCTGGGCTAACGGAGTCCAGGTGGGGAGCCCCTGGGCAGCACAGCAGGCCAAAGGAACTGCTGACAGTGACCCTTGGGAAAACGGTTGTTTTTCTTCTGATGCTGAATTATAACTGCTGTCATGGGGAGCCGATAAAATCCTTCTAGGAATAGAAGCAAAATTCCAGCCATAGCAATACCGGCCTCTTCAGACCAGGATTTTACCCTGACACAACTGCAATTTGAGCTGCTAAAGATCATAGCTTATCTGTTAAAGAGGAGCATCAGTCCTGCTATTGCAGCTAACTGTCTATCTCCAAGCACCTCTCCTGGTGGTTTCAGTCGCTTTTCAGTCCTCTGCTGCTGGGCTGGGTGGCTTTACCTGGCAAAGCAGCCGCCACGTTCCAGCACAGAACTGGCTGGTTTCGGGGCATGGGTGAAGTGATAGTTATGCATAGCTGGGTAGCTTTGTAAGGCCCTTGGAGCGGAGAGGAGCATTTATAGTAAGAAAAAGTTATTGTTCCTGGTTTCACACTCAGCTGAGTTTCCATTCCACACATTCCTTATTACTCACTCTTAATCACTGTAGATGTTGACATCAGATACAGACTCACAAAGCCAAGGTTGTTGGGAATGTTACTTATGTTTAAAGAGATTCTTCCCAGAATGTTTCACGCTTCTGATTTTCGACTATATTTGGTGGTGGAGTGAGAAGACTCTCCTCCTCTCATGTTTTCAGAGCCTGCCCATGTGCTACACCGGGCTCTGGCAGCGAGCGGCTGCCCTGTGCTGTTGGGGCTGAGGCTGGTGCGCTGAGGACACAATTTGGATCCACAGGCGAAGTCACAAGCATTGCGCTTCTCCCAGGAGCTTTACTAACAGGAAATTGCAGTGTCAAGTATTCAGCTGGCAACGCTGACCACATCCAGCATTTCCAAACTCAGAAATCCCTCTTCTTTCTGTAAACATATTCCTCTTATCTGCAAATCCCAACTTGCCCCAGGAACGCCTGCGTAACCTGCAAGCCCTCCGTAGATCCTGTCGTCTCTCACCCACCGGCAGGACAGTGCCATGGTTTTATTAGTGACATATGACCATTTTTTCCCATTACAGTCATTTCAGGTGTTTATTGCTTACAGGAAAAAGTAGTTCCTGTGGGAGACCAGCCATCTAAAAATCTTGTCTCCTAGGAGAATGGAAAATTCAGTCTGAAAAGATGATTGCGTGTGACAGACAGTGTAAGGGCAGGGGTAGATGCAGGGCTTCATAACAGGGCAGAGCAGCCTGCAGGGAAAATCTTCCCGAGACCCCAAACAGTTTCCCACACCTCTCCAAGCTGGGGGAAACGAGCTCTGAAATGTTCTTCCCATCCCACAGAAATTCCCACCAAATTAAAAAAGTTCCTTTTTTTATTCTGAGATGAAGAGAAACCTCCTGGAGTTATCCCTGAGGACACCCGAGTCCAGGCGAGCCCCCGCTCGGCTGCTCCCGCCCCCGCCGAGGGCGG